AGCTCTGCTGGGAGGAAAGGCTGGCAGAGCTGGGATTGTTCACCTGGAGGAGAGAAGCTCTGGCGTGACCTCACTGTGGCCTTCTGGAACCTGATGAGAGCCTGCAAGAAAGAAGGAGAGAAACAATCTCCAGGAGCCTTGGGGGACAGGAAAAGGGAGAATGGCTCCCCACTGACAGAGAGTAGGTTTAGATTGGATATTAGGAGAAATTTCTTCCCTGGGAAGGTGGGCAGGCCCTGGCACAGGGTGCCCAGAGCAGCTGTGGCTGCCCCTGGATCCCTGGAGGTGTCCAAGGCCAGGCTGGATAAACTTGGAGCAGCCTGGGACAGTGGGAGGTGTCCCTGCCATGGGGAGGGGTGGAATGAGATGTTATTAAAGTCCCTTCCATCCCAAACCAGTCTGGGATTCTGTGAAGAGCAACAGATGCTCAGGGTGAGGTTTGAAGTAACCGAGGAGGGAGCACAGGCAGGATTTTTCCTGCTCAGAAGAGCCACGCTTGGATCTCTTTGGAGCATCTGCAGGGAAAAGCACAGAGCTGGCTGCACTCCCAGCTGGGGACAGAGGTCCTGCAGCTGAGGCAGGCTGGAAAAGTGGTTTGTGTCTGTGAGCACGGCTGAGCAGAGAGCAGCTGCTGCCCTGAGGCTCCCAGGGCTCTGCCCAGCAGGAATGCTGAGCTCTTCCCAGAGCCACACCGGGCACTGAGCACAGCCCGGCTGTCAGGTGTTTGCAGTAATGGAAAGAAGCAAACAAAGCCATTCAGGGAACAAATGAGGATAAATCCAGGCACTTCTACCTGCTCACAAACAGCCTGCCAGCTGAGGAGCTGAAATGCAGCTCCCTGGAGAAGCTGGAGCATCCAGGCACTGCTGAAGCTGCAGTGTAGGAGTGGTGCTGGAGGGCAGAGAAGGGGAGTCAGGGGGCTCAGAGGGGTGGAAGGTTGGATAAACTGGGCCAGTGTGGGAATCCAGAACTTCTCTCTGGCTGCCCTGGAAGGTCTGGGACCCTGGCAGGGGTTAGGAACCCCCCTGGACAGAGCCCCAGAGACACTCTCTGTGATCTCTGCCCATGGAAAGGAGTTTTCAATCTTACAGGATGAATTACCAGCTCTGAGTGTTTGATATGAGTAATAATTGAGTGTGGCACAGGTGCAAAAGTAAAATTTTAGGATTCTAGATTAGGGGTTCAGAGGGGACAAGATGGAGGAAATTGGGTGTGTCTTGTCCTTTTTCTCCTTCTTCATGCCCTCCATGTTTCACTGTGGTGTTGGCATTTTTCTGTTGGTTCAGGCTGGGGACACACTGTCCAACGTAGGTGACAGATATTGGCACGTTATTGTAAATCCAGCACAGGTAGTTTGTGGTATTTAATGTTTGTAACACCCCACTGAGGGCAGAGCCCCACACGCTGCCCTGCAGGACAGAGCTGCGGCAGGGCAGCAGAACATGTTAGAGATAAACAGAATAAACAACCTTGAAACCAGCACAGACAAATTATGGCTTCTTCTTTGGCAGTGGGGCAGAAAGACAGAGACTTTCTACGACCTCGGGATCATCAATACCACAGATTCCGACAGGCCAGGGAGGTGCACATTGGGAACCAGGTGGGAAACTGCATGCCCAGCTCCATGGGAATGAAGAATATCCTGGTGTCCATCCCTGAGTGCTCCCTGCTGCCCAGACTGGGACTCCAGCCTGCAGCAGACTGGGTCATAGCCAGAGCCTGACCTGTGCAGCCCCAATTAGCTGGGAGAGGAGCTGTGCAGCTAATGAGCCCGAGCAGGGATTTATCTCAGCCCCAGGCACCGACACTGACTGTAAATTCCTGGCACAGGCAGCAGCTCCCTATTGATCCCAGCAAGGCTGAGTGCTCCCCAGCATAAAAATCACAGGGAAATGGGATTTCTCCATGAGATTTCTCTGCTTGGGTGCCTGTGAGACCTCCTCGTGTCCAACGTAGCCAAAACCCACCTGCAACAGGTGACATTGGTGGCACTGGAGGTTGTTGACAGGCAGAAATTGTCACCCCTTGGAGGGGAGTGTGACCTGTGATGGCAGCAAACTGGTTAGGGGTAAAAGAAGAGAAGGAATAGATACTGAATTCCATAGTTTCAGTGGGAATTCTGGAGAACAGGGAGAACCTGAGGGATCCACTGGAGCCCCTGAGACCAAAGGGAAGAGCTGTCCATTTTTCCTCATACAGTTTGCAGGAATGAGGCACTGGGAAACACTCTGGCTATCTGCCCAGTTCAACTGGTTTTCTTGAAATAAACTGGTGCCAGAACATTCCAGAAGGGTCACAGGGAGGGAAGAGGGGTCTCAGTCTCACAGCTGGGACAGGGTGCAGAGGGGCTGGGGAGCTGCAGAGGATTTAGAGCCCTGTCCCCATCCCAGCCCCCCCAAAATCAGGAGCTTGGAATTGGTTCCTCCTCTGATTCGCCCTCCTTGCAGCCAGGCGTGGTTGGTGCTGCTCAGAGCGTGGGATGAGGAGGGGATAATTAGCCCTGAGCTTTCTTCTACCTGCAGGAGGCTGGAAGGAAATTCTGAGTCAGACCAAAACAACATTTAGAAAATGGAGCAGGCCCAGGCAGGATGATCAGTGGCTGGTAATGACAATTTATCTTGTCGCATCTTGATACCTCCTGTTGTAATGTCCTCCCTGCCTGGTTTGCAGTGAAAGGGCATCCTGTAAATCTCAGAGGCACTGGGAGATATTGTCCTTCTTTCTCACTTCACAGCCTGGAGAGGTGCCTTGAGCTGGAACCTGGCAGGCAGAGGCACAATTCCACCACAGAGCACCTTTGCTGTGCTGCAGGGAATTTGTTTCCATCCTCATTCAGCCCCAACTTCACTCCTGCCAGGGAACAACTCCCACTGCCAGCAATTGCCACTGCAACCATTTTAAACAATCCTGGAACCTGTGATTCTCTCCAGGCTGATCATCCCCATGCTGGCACACCCAGAGGAAATTCATCTTGCACCATGGCAGGCTGCAGGAACACAGAATATTTCTTCCCTTGGGAAATCCTGCAAGGGTACCAGAGACCTGGGTACAAGGAACTGGTACTGGGAACTGGTACTGGAACTGGTATTGGTACTAGAACAAGGATGAAACAAAGCCCTGCAACCCACCTGGGAAGCAGAGTGGTTTTCTATTTTGTAGACAAGATAAAGGACATTTTTTAAAGTTCCTGGGAGCTCAGGAGGGTCCCCAAGAAAGGAATAAAGCCCAGGAGTCGCAGCTCCCTGTGTCCAGGTTTAACTGGTAAATACAGCAGGTTCAGTCAGCTCCAAGGGAGTTGTTTCCATGTTTTCCCCAGGAGATGCTGAGCCACTCAGACAGAGGCACTGTTCTGCAGTAGCTCGAGCATCAAAGGAGAGAGGAGAGAGGTTTACAGGAGAGTGGTTTAATTCCCAGTCGCCTGTCAGCTCGGAGCACGCACACGTTCAGCTCTCACAGCCCGAGTCACTGATAAGAGCTCGTTTATTAATCCCTGGTAACTCAATCTGCCCTCCCAGCCCCAAGTGCTGAGCAGAAACAATGCCCTCAGGAGCTGGAGATCAATTTAAATTTCCAGAGCCTGGGTCCCTGACTCACTCCATAGTACCAGTGCTCCTCGGAATAAGCAGGGAGTGGATTTTCTGTCACATCCCTGATCCCAGCTCCCCTTCCAGCAGTGCTGGCTGCCACCTCCTGCAGGAGCCATGCAGGGGGACTCATCTGACCAGCTCCCACCCCCTCCACAGCTCTGGGATGGATCCTCTGGCTGCTGGTGCTTCCTGCAGCCCCATCTGGAGGGGAGCAGGGACTCCAGGGCTCTTTGTGCTCATCCCTGTTGCACACTGCAGGAAAAACTCCTTTGGAAGTGGCAGTCTCAACAGAGAGCTGAGGGTCGAACCAGACTGGAGGGATGAGGAAAACGAAGTCACTGACGTGGCCCAGGTGACACAGCCACAGAGGGGTGGGAGGCAAACCGGGTTAATGACTGCCTGCTTAATGGCCCACAGCAAATCCTGATTGCTGCTCCTGCAGGGGCCTCAGCGACTCCCAGACCCTGGACTGGCTCCAGCCCTCCCAGTTGAACATCTCAGGGGTCTCCTGGAGAATCAGAGCCCTGGAAGGAGAGCTGGCAGCAGCCCAGCACTGCTGACACTCTGCTTCAGCAGCCCCCAAACACTGCTGACCATGAACTCTAATTCTGGCACTGCAGGTTCTGCTGCTCAATAAAAGCAAAAAAAAAAAAAAAAAAAAAAAGCCATTTATGAGGGAACAGTCAATAAAGTGAGACTTGTTTATCACAGCTGGTTAGGAGTGGTTGGAAACTGCACCCTCTGGAATGGTGAGGGGTCACAGTTTCAGGACAGCTGCAATGTCCTGGAGCTGAGGTCCCTCCTGCAAGGCTGAGACAGGGACCCTGCCACGCTCAAACACCTCAGGTCATGGCCACAAAGCTGGAAAATTGATGTGGTCACTCTTCCCTCCTGGCCTGCTGCAGCTCCTGGGGCTCATTGTCCCCTGCTCTGCTTCCAGCAGAGCATCAAGAACTTGCTCTCAGCTCAGGATATATAATAATAATAAACTGCCTTGAGACCGAACAACAGAGACTGCTGAGCCTTTTTTTGGAAGCACGGCTTGGAGGAGAGACTTTTCCACCACACGGAACCCCTGAACCAGGCTGGGTTCCGACAGAGGATGAAGCTGCTCTCGGTTTTGCCTTCCCCCTGTGCAGCAGGGCAGGGGCAGGGCTGGGAGAGGTTTCCTGCCTCTCTCCCCCAGCTGAGGAAGCTCCTGCACTCTCAGGGTGGCTCCTGCTGGGAAAATCTCCCGGACGAGAAAAGTTCTGTGCTGGCACAGAGCAGGGGGATGCAGAGGGGCCTCCCCTCCTTGGGATCCAGTTTCTCCCATCCCTGGGGGGCTCAGCAGGGCAGGTTCTGGCATTTCATCACCTTCAGCTCTTTGCACCCACACAGAGCAAGGCAGAGATCTCAAATTAGAGCCTTGGTAAGCTCCAGGAGGATGCCTCAAACTGAGATAAAATGAGCCCTAACTGAGACCCTTAATTAAGTCCCTGGTGCTGAAAACAGGGGAGCCCCCACCTGAGGGCCCTGGGCTGCCCCACCAATTAGCAGAGCCAGCAGCTCATCAGGGTAATGAGGAGCAGTGGGGCAGGACCTATAAGTACCCTGAAGGCCACAGGGGGGTTAAGCCAGGTTTGTGTCCAGTCTAGGCTCTATGGAGCAGCCCCCAAAGCAGGTCTGGCCTCTGACCAAGGGGGGCTTTTGCTGAGGGCACTCTCAGAGCTGGGCTGGAGGCTCTGACCTTTCTCTTTCTCCCTTTCCAGATGAGGCCCCCCACCAGCAGTGATTCCTTCTCCAGCAGGTTCCTGGGCCAGATCCTTCAGCTCAGCTTGGCCAAGTACCCGGTGAGTGAGGCTGAGGCTGGGGAGGGGGTGGCTAAAACCTCAACACTGGCAGTTTCTGGGGGCTTTCTGTCAGGTAATTTATTTTCTTTCAGTCTTTTCACATTATTAGACATTAGGAAGAAATTCTTCCCTGTGAGGGTGGTGAGGCCCTGGAAGTGCCCAAGGGCAGGTTGAATGGGGCTTGGAGCACCCTGGGATTGTGGAAGGTGTCCCTACCCAAGATAAGCTGTGGAATAGGTGATCCTTAAGGTCCCTTCCAACCCAAACAATTCCATGATTTTTCTTCTGCTTTACTTCCAATCCCAGCCTTTTCTCCTTGGCCTTGCCTTGCTCCCCTTCAGCTGTTGGTGGCTGTAGCATTCCCATTTCTCTCCCTCTCTGGATCAGAAGAAATGGGAGGGTGTTGGGAATAAAGAACAAATAAAGAACAACCCAACAGGTTCTGGCTGAAGTTGGTTCCACTCTCGGCTCCATGCTGGCACAGAGCAGAGTTTAAGGCTTTCCCTGAGAGCTTTAAACACCTTGAAGTTGTCCCATGTGCTGATGGACCTCTCTTTGCAGCTGAAGCTCCTTCAGAAAGCATCTGTCTGGATTGGAGTGGTGCTCCCTGTCGGCACCATCAGGAGCAAACTCTGCCCCCAGTCCCCCAGCAGGCCTGGGCTGCTGGCCAGGAGGCGCTGGGGGAAGCTCGTGCACCTTCTGTTCTCTGTGACTCCCACCAGCATCCAGAACTTCCTGGGCTACCTCCCAGCAGACTGGGGCCAGAGCAATATATCCAAGGGTAAGAGCTGGAGGCTTTGCAGCTGGGAGGAACGCAGCATGGCATTCCTGCAGGGAGCTGGGGAAAGTGCTGTATTTGTTCTGGGTGTGGTGATTGTGCCTCCTGTAAATCCCTGCAGAGATCCAGGAGGCTCCCGTCAACCCAGCCAGCAAAGCCAGCAAGAGGAAGAGGGATGATGTGGATCTGGAGCAGCAGGAGCCCTGGTTTGTGGTGCTGAAGAGGGATTTGCCAGAGGATGACCCTGAAGATGTCTCATATGAGGTGAGATGTTGTGGCTGCTGAGCAATTCCAAGATGGTTTGGCCTCTGTGTGAGCCTGGGAGTGTTCCTGTGGAGCAGCTTGCAGAGGTTTCCTTTCCTCTCCCCTCTCTGAGGGCACAGGGTGTCCAAGGAGCACTTGACCATCACCCCAGCACTGTCTGAGAGCTTGGGGGTGCCCCACTCATGCCCAGGGTTTTCCTTTGGCCGACGTCCCTGCTAGGCAGCACCTCTGTCACCCTTGGCCATGGCTCGCAGTGCTGTTGGGACAGGACTGGTGTGTCCTCCCCACGCTGTTCCTTCCTCAGAGCCTCCCTTTGCCTCTTTCCCCCCAGCCCTCGGAGCTGGAGTCGGACAGTGACGAGTACCAGTCCCAAAATGACACCGACCTGGAGCTGGAGGAGCAGGGTGGGGTCACCGTGCTGAAGCTCTCCGCTGTCCAGGTGAGTTCCTGGGGACAGCATCAGTCCTGGGCTGCAAGGCTTCCCCTCAGCCCCTGGCTGCAGCAGGAGGGAGCCTGGGGTTGCTCTGATCTGGATTCTGTGAACCCCTTGTGGATTTTGTGCTGCTCTGACCTGTGCCACACAACCCCCAGGGCTCCGTGCTGCCCCCAGAGCCGGGAGCAGAGGATCCAGCTGTGGCCAGCAGTGGGGGAGATGCTCCAGATGTGGCCGGTGGTGATGCCCAGAAGCCACAAGGAGATGGGAGCAGTGAGCAGGAGTCTGACACAGCCTGTGACACCAGCTCATCCCAGGATGGGGTAAGGACCCTTGGGACAATCCCAGCCTCTGAGTGTGGGGCAGGGGAGGTGGCACAAGTCCCCTGGATGTCCCCAGGCTCTGAGCCTTTGTCACAGAGCTCTGCTGCCAAGGGAAGGGGTTGGAGGGTCTCCAGTCCCTGTGCAGGGACACAGCCTCAGTCCCCAGGTGTTGGTGGGGTGGTGCTGGGTGTGCCCAGTCACAGCAGTGCCAGATGCCAACTTCTGACACCTCTGACCCAGGGCCACTGCCAGCAGGCTGCCACAAGCCTTTCAGTACTCCCTGCCCTGGATATTTTGCAGCAGAAAATAGGGAGGATTTATGGGAATTCTTTGCCACAAGCAGCTTTCCCCTCACTGCTCTGATCCCAAAGCATTGCTGGATGCCCTCCTCATTCCCAGGAAGCTGCTGCCCTGGGAAGTGAAGGGTTGGGGGATTGCTTTGTCCCTAGTGTCAGTGAGGGCAGGCAGTGCTATGGGGGAAATCTCCTGTTTTCCAGGGAAACGAAGAAGCCTGACTTGTGCACCTGGACCTTCTGGGGCTGCAGTGTGCCTGATTCCCTGGGACAGCTGTGTCCCTGAGGGGGATGTGCAGTTAAATGCTGTGTTCATGTTGTTTGTTTCCTTTTTCTGAAGTTTATAATAAAATTGCCCTATTTTTTCACATTAACTGGGCTCTATTGGTACCTGGAGCTGGCATTACAGGGTGTGGGGCTGCCAGGGGCACCTTTCCCTCTGATTCCTCCTGGGGAGGGGTTCCTCAGGATGCCTGGGAGAGGGGGATGGCTCTGGGAATGCTGGAATGTGATGGGAGGGCAGAATTGAAGGTGCAGAGAGGCTGGGCAGCACTGTGGCTTTCCATGGGGCAGTCCCTGAGCTTTGGACACCCAGGCTGTTCCCTGGGCTGGCTGGTGCCTCCAGGGAATCTCCTCTCTTCTGACATCCCCAAGAACACTGGAATAACCCCTTGGAAAAAAACAAATAATTTAACACAGAGGCTGTGTTTTGTAGTGAACGCTTTGAGGTTTTCAGTTTGTGTTTTGTCTGCTTTATCTGGGAGTTGTGCACAGAACTTCTCCCTCTACATCAGTCCTAGGAGCCATCCTCTGAGGAAATAGAGATTTTGGGGTCTGGAAAAGCAGGCTGGGATCAGGAGGTGCCTGAATATGACCCAGAGCTCTGGAGAGACCTGAGGTTGCCCAGTGCTGGAGCTGTTGCCTGGATCAAGACCCAAAATCTGAGGCTGCAAAGAGAGCAGCTCCTCCCAATGTGGGTGAGGGAATGGAAACAGCTCAGGGGGGTTGGATCCCTTGCTCAGGGCATGCCTGGAGGCTGTGTCTGGCACCAGTGCCTGGAGCTGGCTTTGTGTGGGAATCCACTGGGATGACAAAGCTCCAAGTGCTAAAATGAACCATGGCACCCTCCAGCAGGGATGTGGGGCTGAACGAGCTGAGCCCTCAGTTGGGTTTAACCAGGGTGGGCCAGGCCAGCTTAGAAATGCCTGTGGTTGTGATAGAAATGCCTGTGGTCGTGTCTGTGCTTGCCCCAAGCCTCTGCAGGAGCAGAAACCCTCCGAGGGGACAGTGCCCAGGGTGGTGCTTGTGTCCCAACACCTGTGGGCTGCAGGAAGGAATGGGAGTTGGAAATCCCAGGGGATTTGGAGGCAGGTAAGGGGGATGGAGGGGTCTTGGCCCCCAGACCCTGCTAGGACTGGGGATCTTAATACCGGGTTTATTAAAGATTGTCCTGCCTGTCAAAGCAGCCCCGTGGTGGCTTTTCCTGCTGGATTTCACTGCTGCTTCCAAAGCCTTCTCTGACCAGTGAATATGGGAATAAATCACATGGGTTCCATTTCCTTCATGGTAGAAAAAAGAGGCTCTTCTTTATGCACATAATTCCTTTTTATACAGTTTTACAGACTTCACGTGTGACTAACTGGTTAGTAGACTTCTTGCTAATTACTTTTATTGGTTAGTAACAAGTTATTCTGTGTTCATTGGTCACTCAAACTCTTGGTATTGTATATGCAGGGAAAGTAGTTTTTGATAGTTTTTATTTTTCTATCTAATGGTGTAAAAACAGTTTATACAGGTGCAAGTAGGAACAGATTATTATGTTAATGAACTGCTCACACCAGGATTGCTTTCACATGGGAATTTGCAAAGTGCTAGCTTGACTTAGAAGAAGTGACAGGCCAGCCAGAGCAGGTCTGATTTTATAAGGCTTTTCTTTATATTTTTTCTACCTTACTATAACAATGAACCACTTAAAAGTGGAAATTCTGGAGCTTTAAATTTGTGTCTGGGTCAGGACACCTTTCCTGGAGCTGCAGCCCTTGGACTCCTCCCTGGCCCTCTAAAATTTGCTTTGCAGCTCTGGCCAGAGATCCAGCACTGGTTCCTTGTGCCTCTGCTCCAGCGGGGCATGGTTTGGATCAGGCAGGGCTGGTTTTCTCTCAGGTAGGTTTTTGTGCACCGTTAACAGCCCTGAGTGATGAGACTCAAGCATTCACAAAGCTGCAGTGCCTCATACCTGGTGTTATCTGCAGCCACGACAGCTCTGCTTTCATTACTGCTGAGTAACAGCAAGATTTTTTTTTGTTAAAGTTTGATAAAGGAGCTGATCCTGCAGCTCTTGGATATTATTCTGTGCTCAGCATTAATTCAGGTGCTCCTTGTTTGTGTACAAGAGCTCTCCCCTTCTCTGCAGTAGGAGTTAATAAAATGTCCTTCACAAAGCTCTCTCTGGAATCTGGCTGGCTTTTCCTCTTGCTCCTGAGCTTTAGGAGCCCTGGCTGTGGGGATGAAGGGCAAGCTTGGCTCCTTGCCTGGGGGTCAGGCTGCAGAGTGATGATGCTATCTGCTGAGGAAGGAAACGGCCCTAAATCTGCCTCTGAGCTTACCTGCAAATTAATTCTGATCTCCCCAGACCTTAAGCCCTAATTTAGGAAGAAGACACCTCCTCAGCTGAGCATGGAGGAAGTCAATGGCTTGGAGAAGCAGCTGCAGAGATGTTTGATCCCAAGGTCACCCCAGAGTCTAGCCCAGCAGGTGGGTGGTGCCCGTTTGTGAGGAGGAGGAGTGGGATGATGGCCCTCAGTGGGTGCAGGCTCAGCCTGGAGAGGTGCCCCAGCACCTGAGGGTGGCACAGCCCTGGTATCCACCAGATTTTGTGTGATCCCCCTCAGTCCCTGCTGAGGAGCAGATTTCCTCCATCTCTGCACGCCCTGGAAATCTTCAGTCGCTGCTTTCCAAAGGCCCCACCGTTCCTTTTCCCAAAGCCTGGCGCTTTTCCTGTTCCCAGGGCCCAGAACTTTTCCTTTTGCCAGGCCCCATTTTTCCTTTTTCCCAGGGCCCGGTGCTTTTCCTTGCCCTGCTTTTCCTTTTCCCAAGGCCCGGCGCTGTTCCTTTTCCCAAGGCTCAGTGCTTTTCCTTGCCCTGCTTTTCCTTTTCCAAAGGCCCAGCACTTTTCCTTTTGCCAGGCCCCATTTTTCCTTTTCCCAGGGCTTGGGGCTTTTCATTTTTCCCAAGGTTCGGTGCTTTTCCTTGCCTGCTTTTCCTGTTCCCAGGGCCCAGTGCTTTTCCTTTTGCCAGGCCCCATTTTCCTTTTTCCCAAGGCTTGGTGCTTTTTCTTTTCACAAGGCCCAGTGCTTTTCATTGCCCTGCTTTTCCTTTTCCCAAGGCCCGGTGCTTTTCCTTGCCCTTGTGAAAAATGCATATTTTATGATTGGCTTTTCTCAAATGTTACAATGAATATTATATGTGTAATGTTAGAAAGTGATGCTGTATTAATTCTCTTACGTAGTCTGTTAAATGTAATTATAGGTTACAACATAATGTTAAAATAGAAACTCTGTGATATAGGATTTGTTACAAGCTCAAGCAGGAAGATGAGATAATCAAGAAACTCTTCACACAGAGATGTCAGCAAAGGGGGGCCTTAAAAAGTTACAGCCTCCTTATCAGAAAAGACAAACATTCTTCCACCTTCTCTCTGTCTTTGTGGAACCAACAGGATCAAGGAGAAGAAGTTGACAAAAACCAGAAAAGTTCTTAATTTGCATGGAATTTATGCATCATGTATGAGATATATGAATATGCAACAGGTTACTGCTTTTAAGGTTATTCCTTTGTTCACAAGGGACAATTACAAGACAATAAAAAGCAAAGACTTACAGATGCCCAGATGCTCTCGGACACTAAGTCACCAAAAGCATCCCTTGTGAACAAAGGAATCACCCTTAAACCAATACACTTGTTGCATATTCATATATCCTTTATGGTTATGCATACATTCTGTTCTAAACAAGAAACTCTGTCTGTTGTATGGGAACTGTTCCCTTTAATCCCCATGGGGTCTTCGAGTCTGAGCAAAGCCTGAAGAAATTAGCTTCTTCTCATAAGGAGCCATAAATTCCTTTCCTTTGGAAGATTTAGGTGTTCTTCAAAGCAAGTATCTCATTCCTAAAAAAACCTTCCCCCACATACATAGTCTCTATTTTAACATTATTTTGGAACCTAAAACTACATTTAACACACTATGTAAGAGAATTAACACAGCATAACTTTCTAACATTACACATATAACATTCATGGTAACATTTGCGAAAAGCCAATCACAAATATGCATTTTCCACAGCCCCATGTCCTCAGCAAGGGCCACCAGAGAGCCAGGCAGGTGCTGTGGCAGGATGGGAAGGAGAGAGGGAGAGAAAAGGAGGGGTAAATGGGGACGAGGAGATGAGTGGGGACCTTGAGGGAGCCTGAGGGGTGAGCAGAGGTGACCCTGACAGTCGGGGAGCAGCGAGGACACATGGCCCCAGCAGCCTGCGAAGGGCTCCGACCTGTGCTGAGGGAGCTGTGTGGGAAACAAATGGCTTAATTGAAGCAAAAGCGATCATAATTAGCATGAACAAATCCAATTAGAAGCTGGGGGCGGGTTACCCTGGGCCTGGCATGGGCAGCAGGGAGGGCTGGGGGTCCCAGGGCTGGGACAGGGGGTGGCAGGGGGTCCCAGGGCTGGGACAGGGGGTGGCAGGGGTCCCCTAGGGCTCGTTAGCATCTTCTCCTCCCCGGGGTCTGGCTTTGTGCCCTGGCCATAATTAGGCTGGAGGATGGATTAGGCAGGCTGTGCTCAGCCAGGGGGGAGCAGCAATCGCTGGTAATGGAGAGGGGCAGGAGCCCCATTCCATCCCTGCCCCAGGGCTGGAAAGAGCATTTTCCTCTTTCCTATGAGGAGCAGAGGACAAGCTGTTCCAGTCTGTCCTTTCAGGTGATGCTGGGGTCTAAGGGGGGATGTGCTCAGCTGCAGCCCTGGCACGCTGGAAATAGTGAGGTTAAATATTAACTGTGAGATCTGATGCTACAGCAGGAATTTTTCCTAGCAAAAAGAGATTTGAAGGGTTCATTTCCAGCAAAATCATCTTTATGGGTCATGATTTTAGTTACAAAATTTTCCCTTGTTTGGGGAAAATGTGAAACCACAACACTTGTCACTGGGTTTCTTTTTCCTGTTCAGTCTCCTGCCCCTCTAGGAGTTACTCCTGCAGGAATTCATCCTTAAATCCCCCATTCCAGGAGTGAGAGGCAGGCACTGAGCACCCCCTGAATCTTCCAGCCCCACCTTCTGTGCCCGACTGCTCCCACAATGTGGAAAGCAAAACAGGAGAGTGGGAACCTCTGTGCCTGGTGTGGTCCCAGTAAAACCAGTAGAGCCACCAGCAGGAGGAGCAGGCAGGTGCTTCTGTCATTCCTCAAAAGCTTTGGGAGCTTTCAGAGCCAGGGAACTCCATCCTCATGGGATTGGGGTAATTTGGGGTCTGTGTGTCCTGCTCAGCCTCTGGTGGTGATCCAACCCCTCCCAGTGCGGTGCTGTCACCTGTGTGAGGTTCCTGCCTGCAGCTGGTGACAGCTCCCAGTGATAATCTCGGGTTTATCTTCCCCCGTGACAGCAGCAGGAATGAGGGAGGCTGTGATGTGTCCCTGGGGAGCCCAGTACCAGCCCCAGCCTGTGGGGAGCTCCAGCTGCCCCAAACCCAGCAGGTTTTACAGCTGCAGGGGAAAACATCTGTCCCCATATCTGCTCATCTCCCAGAGTATCACAGATTCAGGGTGGGGTGCCTGGGGAACAATGCTGTGCCTTTCTGGGGACACAGCACGGGGGTGGGCAGGGCAGGTGCTGGCTCTGCTTCACTCAGGGATGTGCAGGGAGGGACCAGCCCTGTGTCTCAAGCTGGCCTTCGGGGTTTTGCACATGCCAGGGAGGGATTTGCATCAGGGCTGACCCTGCTCCCTGTGGGTTATCTGGATCTGGGAGCCCAAAGATGCCTTGGACCAGCTAAGCAGCGTTTTACCCCTGAGGAGGGCTCCAGCCATGTGTGTAACTGGGAGCAGATGGTGCCAGCAGTGACAGAGCACTCTGGCCATCCCCAGCATCTCTGAACATGGAACCATCCCCTCAGAGGTGCACAATTCCCAGCCCAGATATTTTTGGCCAGTGAGAGCTGTGGATGTTGATGTTTTCCAAAGGCTCTGAGCCCATATTTGTGTTGCTGCCCTCGTTGGCATCTCCAGGCTGTTGGTCACAGTTGGGTGGCAGGGAGGAACTGGTGCTACAGCAGATGCCACGGCTGGGCTGGCGTCCAGCTGAGGCCTGGAGACTTGTTGTGTCACACTGTGGGAAAAGTGAGGGGAAAAATGAGGGAAAAGTGGTAACCAGCAGGCCAGACCCCCCCTCCCTGCAAATAGTCCTGCTGAGCAGAGCTGGGAGCTGAGCTGTGCCTCTCTCCCAGTGCCTTCCCAGCTCAAGCCCAGTGAAAGCTCTTGGAAGCACAGCTGGGAAGGGCAGCATTAACATGCACATACATTAGGTGTGACTCAGCCCACAAAGCAGTAATTTTCAGGTCTGATTATCCTCAGCCCTGTGCTCCCCAAAACTCGCTGGTTTTGTTCATATTTCGTTTAAAGATGCTGCAGGATACTAGCTTAGAAAAATGGGAGGTGACAGGAGAGCCTGGGAGCTATGGGTGGTTCCCATCCCCACCCCACAGAGGGAAGGAGGGATGAGGTCAGTGCCATCGAGTCCAGCTGCTGGTGCCAGTGTGGGACCTCCTGGTACCTGTGTCCTCAAGGGGCCTTCAGGTGGGAGGTGCAGAGGAGCCCCCAGGGGTCAAGGATGAGCCAGTCTGGAGAAAGGTTATTTATAAGAGTATGTAGTGACAGGGAATGGTTTTAAATGGAAAGAGGGGAAGTTTAGGTGGGATATTGGGCAGGAATTGTTCTCTGGCAGGGTGGGCAGGCCCTGGCACAGGGTGCCCAGAGCAGCTGTGGCTGACCCTGGATCCCTGGCAGTGCCCAAGGCCAGGCTGGACAGAGCTTGGAGCAGCCTGGGACAGTGAAGGTGTCCCTGCCATGGCAGGTGTGAAATGAGATGGTTTTAAAAGTCCCCTCCCACACAAACCATTCCATGATTGCACTGAGTTTCTTGGCCCTGGATCTGCCTGCAAGGGAAGAGGCACCTGTGGCTGGTTCAGGACACCAAAAAGGGTGGGCATGTAGATTGTCACCTGTCCCCTCCTTGCTGTGACACCCCCTTCTCCCCAGGGACCTCCCTGAGAGCTGTGGATGCTTCTGTGCCCAGAGGAGGTGACTCGTGGTGTGTCCCCACATCCCAGCCCTGGGAAGGGGGACCCAGGCAGTGTGGAGAGGCTGCAGGTCACTGCTCTGTCCCCAAGGGACCCTGGCTGGCTCAGCATCCTCCCCTCGATGCCATTGCTGCTTCCAGGAGCTCCCAGCACCTGCCCATCCCTGCAGAGCTCAGTGGGCACTGCTGGGACCTCGGGGACTGCTGGCAAATGACCAGAGGTGTGGCATTTGGTGACACAGGTGGGCATGGCAGTGGTTGGACTTGATGATCTCAGAGGGGTTTGCCAACCTTTCCGATTCTGTGACTTCCAGCCCCCAGCTTTATCACCAAAAATGCCTTATCAGGAGCAGCCCCCAGCTAAGGAGGCTTCATGCCCACACCAGCCATGGAACTGTCCAGGTTTAAATCTTCTGCTGCACTTCCCAGCCAGACCCCTCACAGGCTCCAGGGTTTCCAGGAGAGGGAAGGAATCCAAGGCCCACCTCCTTCATCAGCAGCAAAGAGCAGCTCCTCCCACCTGGTTTCAGGTTTTTGATGCAGCTCCCAGCAGAGCAGAACATGATCTGCTGACACCAACCCCAGCCCTCCCACGCCCCGGGAAGGAGGGGGCTCCTCTTGTGCTGCTTTCCTCAGGAGTGGGTTCTGTCCTTGGCTGTATCTCACTGGGGGATCAAAGGATTGAAACAATCCCATCCCTGATGCTGATCAGTCATGGAAGCTCCTACATGGGAAGGGACCCACAGGGATCATCAATCCTGCCCAGACCCCCCAACAGCCCCACCCTGAGCAGCCCTGAGAGCGCTGTCCAAACGCTCCTGCAGCTCTGGCAGCCTCGGGGCCGGGACCATTCCCTGGGGAGCCTGGGCAGTGCCAGCACCCTCGGGGGGAAGAACCTTTCCCTGAGCTCCATGCCAAGGCCTGGCACAGCTCCAGCCCTTGCTGGGCTCCAGGAGCTGTCCCAGAGCAGAGATTGGAGCTGCCCCTGAGGACACTTTCATCTCCCAAGAGAGGCTACAACAAAGCCCTGTGACAGCTGAATGATCTGAGGGACCTTGCTGGTCCCCAGAACTTTGTAAATAAATTTCCAGGTGCTGCCTCAGGAGAACAGAATTGCTGAGGCTGAGCAGGAGCTGCTATGGCAGTGTTGGAGGTTCAGAATGAGACAGAGTGGAAATTTAACAGGGTAGAAATCTATTTGGATTTAAGTGAAATGTGCCACTTTAAGCCACTTTAAATATGCTGTTTAGTCTGGTGACTGCAGCCCTAGCAAAACTACCCCAGCTAAGGAGAAATAATGCAAATTTTCACATTGTGGGGTTTGATTTTTCATCCGCATTTCAAGACACTTCTCGATGTCACTGTGGCTGCTCTGCCCTGTTTTGGCTGCCCCTGCTCCTCCTGAGACTTGTAAAATCTTCCCAGAGCCGTGGAAAAAGGAGAGATTCCACTCTGGGCTGTGCATATCCCAGCACGGGTCCCATGGAGCTGGGACTATTCCCTGTTCAGTGCCCAGCACCCTCTGGGGGAAGATCCTTTCCCTGGGATCTGGGGAGCCAAGGGGTGTCTCAGGGATTGGGATTTCATCCTCGGCTTGGAGAGGCTGAGGTGCACAGAGGGCTGGGGGAGGGAGCAGCCCCCATGCATTTCCCCTCCATGCAGGCAGCCCAGAGCAGATGTCCTCCCACCAGCCGTGCATCATTCATGCAAGAGTGCTCCCTCTCTGATAAATCATGTTGGAGAGACAAGACACAATGGGGCTTTTAATTATAGAAACAATTAGCAAGGATTAATGACAGCAGTGGTGTGACAGTGTTGTTACTCGCAAAGTTTAACCAAGTTAAACAGTTTTTGTCAGGAGTGGGGAGCACTGAGATGCTGCCCTGGGTGTTGGATGATGCACCTCAGCACTCTCCTCTCCTTCCTCTCAGTGAGACACACCTGGGGGCTTCCAGGGGCTTCAGTGGATGAAGCCTTGGGGGGGTTTGTGGGAAGGGACCAGGCTGAGTGAGGGGACTGTTGCTATAGGACACGTGAAAAGCATAACGTGAGCTACTGCTATTTGCAAACTGTTTATTTTCTGACTTCAACTTTTATGCTTTTTCAAAGGTGACAGTGGATTGGAGAGTTGAATGGGCCACCTCTCTAAAGACATTGGATGAACTACTAGTACATCAAGTCTCTCTACACCTATGAAGGAATGCAAAACAACATGTTGTTTACAGAAAGTTGTGTGAGAAAGTTTTCTAACAGAATGGAAACTCAGAAGGCTTTAGAAAACCTGGAGAATCAGGGCAACAGGGGACGTTGTTCATGAGGGGACACTGAGGTGGAGCAGAGCCTGGAGCTGGCCCAGGCCCTGTGAGGGGGAGCAGGGACAGCTAAGCCCTATGTCACCAGCCCGTGGCCATTGTGGATGTGTCCCCAGGCTCCTGTGATCCGAGCAGAGGTGCTGCTCCCCACAAGCACCTTCAACACCCAGGGTGGCCCTGGTACAGCTCCAGCACCAGCATCTCTGCACCTTTCAGAGACAAGGATCAAATCCCTGCTAATCATGGAATGGTTTCAGTTGGAAAGGACATTAGAGATCATCCCATTCCACCCCTGCCATGGCCAGGGACACCTTTTGCTACCCCAGGGTGCTCCAAGCCCAGTGTCTAGCCTGGCCTTGGACACTTCCAGAGTCCAGGGGTAGACACAGCTTCTCTGGACAACCTTTGCCTCCCCACCCTCAGCATACAAAATTCCCACCTGCTTCCCAGACTCAGAAAAGCTCCCCAGAACCCCTTTTCTGCCTCCCAGCAGCTCCATCAGCTGATCTTCAGGCTGGGATCCAAGTTTAATCTGTTTAGAAGACACCACCAGGGCCAATGGCTTGGGAAAACACAAAAGTCAGCAGTAGCTTCCCTTTGCCTGCAGCCCTGGCTGTTCCCCACAGAGGAGACTGTGAGCAGGGACACAAACACAGAGTGACAGGAGGACAGCAGACACGTTGGGGTCACCAGGGTGGCCACAGCTGTCAGTGGAGGTGAGGTGGCACAAGCCACACCAGCCTGGAGCCTCGAGCTGCCCTTCCTCCTCCCTCCTCTGCAGGATGCTGGGGTGGGATGCTGGAGGGGAATACTCAGGGGGATGCTTGGATAGTGCAGGTGAGGCTGGGGGCTGGCAGGGGCTGCTCCAAGGGTTTGGGTGCTGGGAGGGGAGAGCATTGGCCTGAGGGTGATGCCTTGTGAAGGCTGATCTAGAACAGATTAGACGGAGCTAAAGAATAAAGCAGGGATTTATTAGGAAGCCTCAATAGATCCATCTCGGGCAGCACAAGAGCCCAGCCAGGGCTACACCCCAGTGAAACCAAAATGGTCACAAAATGCACAACTGCTCATGGGGTCTTTCACTTTTATAAGTTCTGCTCTGTTTACATATTGGCATTAATTGTCCAATTACAGCTCCAGCCCATGGAGTCCCATCCTTGTTTTTCTCTCTTCATTCCACGGTGTTTGTGCTTTTGGGCTGAGATTTGGATTATTTGTCCTTGGTCCCCCTCTGGAGAAAGAATTGTTTTGTCTCCCTGCTCTGTGCAGAGAGCTCACCATCCCATAATATGAAGCCCAGACCCACCCACTAAAGCAGCACAGAACCTTAAAAATAGAAAAGCTCAAACCTGAGGCATCATTTCTTGAGTCTATCTCTGCCCTGCTGAATCCCCCTGGTACCTGCCCCATGCCAGGAGCCCGTGCTGGGAGCTGGGCTTGGGTCCCCTGGGAGCACCCTCTGCTCTGCTGCACCCCACCCTGTGCTCAGGCCCTTCCCAGGAGGACCCCGAGGTTTGGTGCAGGATTTACCCCAGGGCAGAGCAGAGAAACTGGAGCAGGGCAAGGGCAGCCCTGAATTCCACTCGAGGGTGGAGCAGCCAGCAGACAGGCTGGACCAGGCTTGGCCCAGGTGCCTCAACCCTTGGCCAGTCCACCCAGCACAGCCTGGAAAACCCATTCCCAGTGTTCCTGCCTGCTGGGGGATGGCTGGTGGGGAAG